ACCTTGATCGGAAGTTGTCATTCGCATTTACTTGATCAATTGCCAATCCTGTCCAAAAAGTTGTACTATTGACATTTTGTTATTAGTTTATTTATTAACCAATATCTGAGAAGACCATTTTCTCCATATTAAACTTGGCAGTTATTGCTAGTTCCCACCTTTTCTAGTCTTGGCTTCTGTCTTTCCAGTATTGCGGCAACAGTATTCCAGTAATCAGAATCCATGGTCGTGTGACAAAGTGCGATGGGTGTATACCAAAAGCTCCTAATTTGAAATCAGACAGTCCACCACTATTCAGTCACTTCACTCCCATAACCCAAATGGTTATATCAAGTGAATCTGATAGTCACGGACCAGTATGCCCTAAAAAGTATGATAAACATGCAAATTATTTGATAAATTTCCTGTTCCCGGTTGGTATTTCACATATCTGAGTAATATTTCAACTTAATGACAGCGTCTTTAATAGGGTTTTCAGTGACATAAAACCCCACACCCATCCCAAACCAGCCAATGTCATAAGGTGTGATCTCCACCACAAAAGTGTCATCAACTATCTAGATAAAAACCACTCACACTGACCAGTAGATTTTGCAAATCATATCCATGTGATTTATCCACACCGGACACAAACTCACGGTCCAGTCAGTTCATCTGCAATGTACTCGAACGAATTCACCCCACACGGTCAACATACTCACAGCAAGCGAATGTGACTAGCTGACACACATGGATTGGTAAACTATAAATAGGATGACCAATTTGTTCACGGTGATACTTCCCATATTTGAGTATAGCTCCAACTGCCCTAGCGCCACGTCGACAGGAATTCTTCCGGAAACCATGTGTCGACGTGTGCATTACAATTCATTATCAAGAAATCTTTTTTGGTTACCATTTAATACTGGAAAGTCAATACTCACCACATTTATTTTCTCACTCACATAATTTATCATCTACTGGCCCATTACAGTCCAGATCTAGATCCCCTATGCGAATAAACGAAATACTTACTAACATTCACTCACTTCATCTAACAGTTAAATACAATGCCAAACCCAACTAAAAACTCACTCACCACACTTCAAATTCTACACAAACATTCCCGTCAACGTTTGCTTCATGACCCTGCGCACACACCAACGTCGTCAGTCACCGACTCTCCAGACAACGCCCACACAAGCCAAACAGCCATCGCATGCTTCAACTCCAAACATGCATCCAACGGAAATGCAGTGAACCATATACTCACCTTTGCTCAAGGCGACAGTTACCAAAAATTTCAGCACAAAAACGCATACACAAAATATTCACCCACCAACACAAACCCTTCATCAACAATACACTCCCCATCTCTACAACAGGAAGTCGTATCGACACATGCCAGGGTCGTCAATTCACTCAATCCGATGTGCTACAAGGTCAAGACATCGATTGTGGTTAGCATTCAACACTCAAAAGTCGCTACATTCAACTACTCATATACACGTCCCTCAACATCCACCGGTATATTGCAACCCTACTCCGACTCACTTCTGCAACTAATAATTACATGATTCCGGATGGCCATAATCATAATAGGGAGCAAAAGCGACTAAAACGTAAATCAACTAAAAGTCTTTGCAATGACCGCGAGTAGTGGTGGGTCCTGAAAGCTAAAGAAACGGAGAAGATATCAGCATGGGGTAGTAATCAGAAATTATTTCGACGATTTTTACTACTACGGATATTGGGCAAGAAGACGATGGTTAGTTGGGCCATCATCCAACTAGATAAGTCTATGACAGCCTCTCAGATGAAGCCGCTAGAGCGTCAAGTGGAATACTTTGGGGAACAATTCAAATGGCTCACAGCAAAGCTTAAGTTAAACAGAAAATAGTCCGAACCTGAGTGGGACGTAGACGTCAACCCTCCAACTTTCTTCAAAGTTATTCTAAACCTGAGATGATGCAAAGTAGCAGCAACTGAAGGGTTTTTCTCAGAAGTCTTTATAGGAGAAGTAAAAACTACTGAGTGCAGAAATGAAGGTAATATGCAGCGTATTGGAAAGTTTCGTCAAACTAGTCTGCATTCCAGTTTATAAAAAGAGACAGGAGTCATTTCGTGACAACCAGAAGGGAGCCAGTACAACCAACACTTAATCCAAGGTCCTATGATCTATTGTTGCACGATGTCAAACCTGAACTTTAGGAAATCAGGGCGGTTTCACACTTGAAAGAGAGTATATAGATCAGATCTTCACTCTTCGAAAAGTTTTGGAACACAGGAATATTTATCAGAGGTCGAAACTTGCCGTATTTTCTGAGCCAAAGGTGGCATTCGATTCTGACAACTGAGGTGTTGCAGTAGTGTTTAACTGTAAAAGGAGTACCGAGCGATTATATAACGCTAATCAAAGCTCTCTGCTCGGAATCACGCAGCCGTGTGGGGGTTTAAAGAGTTATCTGAATTGGCGAAAACTAGTGATGTCCGTCAGGGATGCCCGCTGTTTAACCCCACCATAGATGTATTCATGCGCATAACTTTACTTTATACTCAACAGGGAACAACCTACTCCCTGGACGGGATCTGGGTGACTTCATGTACGCAGACATTGTGTTGTTAGACAAAGATGCTGACAAAAGCCAGCATCTTTTGAACGCATTCGGCAGAAATCTGTGCACTTTAGGCATGCACCTTACACCTGTCAATTGTAAGATGACACTTTAGCACTGGTCCACAACTACTCCCAGTTTAAGAAAAGGCAGTGAAGTGGTGAATTCTATTAACCGCTTCACTTACTTGAGGAGTTGGATAAGCTCGGACGCACTGGTTGCTGACGAGTTCTCAGTTCGGAATTTGCTAACTTGTATCACCTTTGATACTGGTGCGACTTCCGACTACCTACTAAAGGATGAGTATCCTGCAATGCAGTCCACTCTGTTCTGTTAAGCGACTGAGACCTGACCGTTGAAAAAGGGTTATAAGAAGAGATAACAGGTGTTTGACCACATGTGTCTTTGCATAATTGCCCACGTATGTTGGAACCTTCAGGTGAGCAATACCGAGGTTAGGGAGAGAAATACCAGGCAAAGCGCGTATTGTGCATACCAAGCCACGATTTATCTCGATGTGCAACGTCAGCCGAATTACGAGTGGGTTGGCAAAAGTTTCAAGGTTCTCGCACCAAGACATATTACAAGTCCATGAAGTCTATGACTGTAGGTATGATCTCCTTGTGATTGGTGTCATTGAGACGATCAGCATCGATAATTGAAGACCTTCATCGACATGGCTCAAAATCAGTAACAATACTGCAAATTGATCCAATCGTTTGTCTTCGGAAGTTTGGACATCACGGACCTAGATTTTTCGTATTCTTTCTCTTTTCATTCATTTTATTCTACTTCGATACCACTTTTTACTCACTTTTCTTTGCGTGCTATGAAATGCGACAACAGAAACCAATGCACTTCTTTGCGAGGTTCTAAGTCAATTCTGTCTAACAGATATGACTGAGACAAGTGGTCCAAAAAAAACTTCTGTCGATTTTATCTCTCAGTAGCTTACAGCGGTATAAACCGTATGTATTCACCGTTGGTTTGAAGCCGGCGAAAGTTAAGTGACACAATACCTTGTATGTTCGAAGTTGGTGCTGGTCATGAATGAGTGATGCTCAAACAAAATCACTCACTGCTGTCAGCATGAAATTCAGTAAATACTTCGGCCATTACTATTAGCAAAGCCCTTCCACTGAAACATCTCTACATAGTACGATTATGTCTGAATGTTTTAGCTGTTGTAGCGAAGGTGACAACTCCCCATGAAAACTCACGTTTTTGACTATCCAAACTACGGTCGGTGGAGGCGTTGGTGGGCATTATAAATAAAGATCAACGAATGTCACAGGCCTTTCTGGTTCCTACGAATCCATTCTGCTAGGTAGTATATACAAACTTATCAATCGGTATCCAATTGACAAGCGACATAACAGTTCATGTTTTCAAGATCATAAATCTTTACCAAAACATAATACAGTAGAAATACTAAGAGATCATTATGCATATATATACAAATATTCTCAGCATATAATTACAACAGTGATATGAATATAAGACAGCTGAATGGATCTAGCCAGTATGAATAAAAACTACTTCATCAATGCCCCGTAAAAGAATTTATCAATTGTCATTTGAATTTTCAACTGCAGTTTACACAGTTAGGCGTATAGAAAAATCCTGTCTACTTTTGTTAACATGCAAAGATTACAGGAATATATTTCAAATATCGCAGTCAGATCTTGTGTTCATATTCTTTCAGCAAATCCATAACAACAACAACAGAGTGCAAATTTACACACTTTAACAAAGTTTATTAATTACCTAATCTCAATTAGTGAATAACTAGTTTGAACACAGTCTTGTTTAGCTAGGCTGCAGCAACCAAGTGTTTACGGTTTGAAACGAGCAGAAATTGATTATCACTATTCAGCACACCTTAGAATTTTATTTTTATCCCCACACTGGTAGTTTTATGAATATGAAGGCAAATAATAGCTGATTCAGTATTAGCCACAATCCTCAATAGACATTTCATGATTAGGTTCAGAGAAGTATCACATAGCTCACATGTAAAAGTGAACTTACGAGGTACAAATACTTGAAAACAAACCAAGATGATAAAGCTTACAAAATATCCAATTGTTATATAAGCGAAAGATGAGATACTTTAATTATTAAGATGAGATCACAAAAATAAACAATAGGGTAAACAACATTAGCAAACCAAACAGGAATTATGCAGTGATTCTTACACTAGGTCTTTGTAAGTAACTAACTGGGAAAACTAGTAAAACAAAAAAATATGCTGACAACCACAACAATAACAATAATTTTATCAGTAAAAGAAAGTTACCGAACCTCTGCTTGCACCTGTGACCACATACAGTGCTTACAAAGACAGTTATATAACTCATAGATAGAATTGTACAAATATTTTTAAGCGAAAAATAGAAAGAGTAGTTAGGAGTCTTCTATAAAACTATTTGGTGCGTTAGTCTTTAAGAATGTATGCAAGGAATTTTGTAGCTCTTCTAGTAAAGGGTCACATAACTTCTCGTAGCCATTTTCAGTAGGATGCATGTAGTCAAACATATCGCGTTGTGAAATAGTTCCATCTGGTTGAATAAAACCATCCCAATCAGGGTTTAGATATGTAATATCAGGTCGACAGGTGAAAACTTCAGCGAGAAGCTTGTTAATTTTCGCATGCTTTGTACGTCTTCTGTTTGGATTTCGACCACATGGCAGAAGACCCTTGAAAAAAAATTGAATAACACTTACACCCCTGGAATACCACGAGGAAAGTAAACGAAAGTTAAGAAGAATCTTCTGAGTGGTTTCTTACTGATTATAGTAACTGGGTAAATCATAAAGTTGGTGCCACTGATTCATAATAAAAATGTCAATAATCACTACTACTCTGCTACAGGACCTCCAAAAGGCGTGGATCAGTATTACAACGTCTAACAACCCTCAATTTTCTCCAAATCTCATTGGTACTAATAGTGCTTGCGAGGTGGGCGGTAGCTTGAGTACATGTAACCCACCTCTAAGTGAGTCAAGGTTGACTAACTCCCACTCATTGATGACTTCAGGAATTTTTATCCATTATGGAATGACGTGTAGAAGGGAACCAGAAGCTGGTTTAAAAAGAAGTCTAAAATTATTGGTAAATCGGTTACAAAGACACGTGTCGATGTCATCTTCGATGACATGATATGTCATAACTCAAAACGTGAAAGGCTAAGATGAAGTCACCTTTTTTCCTACGATAAAGGTAAAAGGTGTAGTCTTGCTTGTCGCTCTTCATAAGGAAGATGGTTAATATCTGCCTTCAGTATAGTGATATTCCTTTGAACCCGTTCTAGTCTACCGGCTTCCTTTTAGAAGCATGCACTAATTGCCTGGATACAACACTAAGGTCTTAAGTAGTTGGTGCATAAGATCTTAAACCTCTTTATCAAAACATTCAAATGTTCTACGAAGGTATACAAAACCCTTCAGCTGTAGAGACACTATAGTTAGCAGTCGTTAAGTTATGACTTACGATAACCCCCAATTTCTTTTGTTCCAAAGACCGAGTTATTAGTTAACAAGTAATTAAGTGTGCGCTGGAAAAGTCATTCCCAATGAAGATTAAGGCACCTTTGCTGTGAATGATTTCCAGGATCCATCGTTCAGACCATTTAACCACCTCATCAAAGTCAACTTAGAGAGATCCATCATCATCATCATCATCTTGATGTCATCAGAATGTAGTAAAGACGATGACCCAGGCATCTTTGGTAATTCAATAACGGAGAAACATACAAGTGCTCCAAGGATAGTGTCTTGGGGAAAACCACTGGTGACAAGTTGCTAATCATACAGTATTCCATTCACCTTTACTCCTTGTCTTTTCTCGTGTAATTATTCTCTGATCCAGACATGAACCACATTTTTAGTAACAATCGTGTGAAGTTTCTTGAACCCTCGCTAAAGTCAATAGACACATCCATAGGGAATTTACCGACCCAACCCTTAACTCACCCCCTCTCGCCAAAGTAGGCTTGTTAAACAAGAAGATCCAGTCCGAAGGCCAAGTTGCTCCTTTGCCAGTAAGTCATGTATTTTTAAATACTTCAGTACTTTATTATGAATTATTTTCGCCATGATCTTAACCATGACACGTTGGATAACACAGTAAAGACCACAACCCCAATATCGGTCAACAGCAACAGGTCATTTATCATCATTTATCAACATAGAACCAGGCATTACTGCGTAACGGGCCAAGTTGTCACAGCTCATATCAGTATATCAAGTAAAAACGCAGTGAAGTGGAAGATGAGGAAAAGAAAGTTCAGTCACAAGAAATACAAAGTACGAAAAGAGAAAGGAAGAATAAGAAAATGGTGAGATTCAGTAAAGCGTTAAGGTCAGGATAATGTGTATATACATCTGCGCCACTGACATTAGTTCTCAGCCATATCACCTAGAGTCTCCAACCACCGGTTCCTCTTGTCCCGCGGACCACAACCACCCAGTCTGCATCGCCCCAAATGGCTCACAGACTTCATTGGTGCCATGTTTTAGTCTGGCCGCATCTGGCCTTTTTCCAGCCTGAACTTACTTCGGCCAACATTGTGTGACGGGGCAGTCGCTGACTAGGCATACGTAACACGTGTCCCAACCAGCTATCCCAGTCGATGAAGGTTCACAACCTCGTCAACTAACTTACCACTTCTCCCTAAGACTCTACACCTGACTTCTGTGTTACTCAAGTGGTGACACCACGGAATACGGCCTACACTACGAAGGCAACGGTGGTCAAACACCTAAAGCCTTCTCATGTCTTCCACCTTCAACAGCCATGTTTCACAGCCATACTGCAGAATAGAGCGGACTACCGTGAAGTACACGCGACCCTCAATAGACAGTCGGATATCATGCGGAACCATAGGTGGCGTAAGTTGGCAAAAGCCAGCCGAGCCTTTTGTATTTGTGCAGAAACTTCGTCGGCCACCGAGTCACCAGGCTGATCCTACTTCCCAGGTAAGTGAAGTGGTCGACACACTCAACCCCTACACTCTCTATTGTTAGACGAAGCACTGTTGAAGATCAATACTGGAGCAACAATTTGCATTTGGGTGGTGAGAAACGCATCCCAAACATTCTCAAATTGCCACTCAAGGTGCTCAGAAGACCTTGTATCTTGTCAGCGTCTTCACCTAACAGGACTGTCATCTGCATATTCTAGGTCTACCAAGGCATCTCTTGTGATTAGATCTATCCCTGTGATGTCAGATGACGAGAGGGAGACCTCCATAAGAATATCTATGATAAAACTGAATAAGAATGGAGAGTGGACACCCTTGACGGACACCACTCGATGAGTACAGCTTCCCGGACATCTCACCACAGGCTCTAACACGCCCACAAGTGTTCGAGTAGAGAGCTTTCAACAAAATGATGTACTCACTAGGTACACCTTTCAGTGAGAGACACTGCCACAAGACTTCTCGATCAACGGAGTCGAATGCCGCCTTCAGGTCAAGAAATACAGCTAGTGTCGGGCGTCGGTAGGCATGCCTGTGCTCCAGAACGTGGCGCAGTGTGAATATTTGGTCAGTGCACCTGCAGTCGGGTCTAAATCCTGCCTGGTTTTCTCGGGCTTGCTATTCCAAACCTCCACTCAGGCGTTGAAGACTTATAGAACCTATAATCTTAGACACTATATTCGTCAGACTGATTCCTCTGTCATTATCACAAGAGGACCTCTCGTCTTTCTTAAAGACTGGGATAATCAGTGATTTAGACCAGTCAGAGGGGATCGTATTTGATTCCCATATACTAGTTAACATCTGTTAACCTAAGAGCACTCTTACCACTATCTTTGTATACCTCAGGAGTTAGTTCGTCTGGTCCGGCTCCCCTTCTTTATTTCAAGTGACCTACCCCTTTCTCGACTTCTGTTAGTATTGGAGGGCCTATCTCAATGTTCCATCTAGGTTCCGACTGGATAGCAGGCAGGTGGATAGAGGCCAGTGAATTTGTTCTGCCCATCGTTCCAGTCGTTTCCTCTGGGAGTGAATAGCAGACTTGTCCTTCTCCGCTATAGTCTCACTAACTGTTGTTGACCTTTTCCCCCCAGTTTTCTGAATAAGTCTAAATAACTGTCTACTGTTGCCAATCGCCGCTGCCTTTTCCATCTCTTTAGCCTTCGTTGCGCACCACTATTCGCGGTCGTTGACTAGACTTTTTCTCAATCTACTTTTAAGTTGCGCTGCTGATATTCACTGGCTCTTCTTAGCTACTCTTTCGGAGTCGGCTACGGTCTTCAACACTGCTTCCACAGCAGACTGGAGATGGCACCAAGCTTCTTCTGGATGAGTGATAGTCTTCTGTTCCGATAACTGCCTAGCCAACTTCTCACTGAAAGCGACTTTGATGTTTTCGTTGTCGAGCTGCACCTGTGTTGGCCTTATTGCCAAATTTTTCTTACGTCTATTAAGACGCAGGCATATACGCGCTCGGATCAACGCGCGGTCACTATCCAAACACATACTTAAGAAGGAGCCGCGCTCTCCCACCGATCCTCTCCAGCGACGACTGATAGCAATGTGGTCTGTCTGCGTCCATTACTGAGTTGAGCTCCGTGGACGCTACATCAGACAGTGTCTTGCTTTGTGTCTGAAATTTTTGCCAACTCAAAATAAGTGGTTATATGAGCACAGTTGTAGTAAGCAATCACCGTTATCTGTTCGTTTAGCCGGGATTCCGAAAGTGACACCTAAGTGTCTTTCTGTCTTACTCAGTCTACTCACCTGTGCATTGAAATCGCCTGCAACAACAACCACATCTGAGTAATTGGCTTTCGAGAGGAGGCTAGACAGTTTTCGGTAGAACTCCTCCTTCAATTCATCTGAACTGCAGTCAGTGGATGCGTAAGCAGAGATTACAAAGAGGCAACGTCGAGTTTCACTATTCTTTTTAGTTCTCACTGAGCTGTTCAGCCAGACAGCGCAGAGGTGACTACCAACTGGGATCCAGTCTAGTAGTGAGCTTTCCACTCTAGTGCTTAATGCTATGCCTACACCTGAGAGACCGCGAGAGCTAGCCATCGAATCTCCAGAAACTTGTAGGGTGAATTTTTCGGATTCATCAGGTTGACCGGGAGAGGTTAGGTGAATAACCGCACTTGCGGCCTGTATGCTAGTCTCACAAACACAACACACATCCAAGGTCCGAGTTGTTAGAGTTTTGGCCAATTAAGTCTGTTGACCAGTTTAACGGAGGGTGTGGACATTTAAGGTCTAGATGTGTAATCTGGAGCTTAGTCTAAGGAGATCAGTGATGCTAATCTGTGAATTCAGATCGTTGTCGAAGACTGTAGAGCTAGAATTTGTAGATGATGTAGTATCGTTAATTCAGAGACATGAAAGAAGATTAGAAGGTAATGATGAGGGAGGTGGATAGCAGTCTGAAGAAACTTGAGTGCTGACAGAGTCGTGAGGGCAGTCGACACATCCCGGTTGCCGAAACCGTGGAAGAATGGTTCACTAACGACCAACCGTATGCAGTTCGACGCACATTTTCTGCTAACATTACAATATTCCAGTCTAAATACTTCACTAACTGTCGCTATGACTGCATTTCATAGGCGTTTTCTTTACTTTAATAACCTTGAGGTTTGCTTGTAAAAGCAGTGGTCCATGAGGTCTCCCACGGGTAGACTAAGAAATAAATAGTGGCATAACCATAAATATTTTACTGCTCCACCAGGCTTCCCATACCAAACCTACATCATGAAACCAGCCCATCAAAAAAGCACTATTACTAATCACTGAAGTGTCCTCATGCCAAACATTTGGGAGGGAGCTCTAAATCTAAACATTACTGCGTGACCACTTCTACCCAATGAGCATCAGTACCTTAGGTATGATACATCCTCACTTTGGCGTGCGAAGAAAAATGCTATGACCGAAGGCTCGTCCGTGGAAAAAAACTTGCATAACCACATTAGGAAGGAAGAAGAAAGAAGATAAGGAATGGATCTCGATGGACACACGGAAGTTGATAGAGGAGAGGAGAGGAGAAGAGGATGGTGAAGCAGAAGATAAACCAGTGCAAAGATGCTCAACGACAAGAGGAACTGAGCACAGTGTATAAAACACTGGACAAAGAAGTGAAGAAGAGTGCTCGCAAAGACAAAAGACACTTCTACGAGACGCTGGCAAGTGAAGCAAAACAGGCTGCTGGTAGGAGAGACCTGACAACATTGTATCGAATAACCAGGTTACTATCTGGGAGAGAAGGGATCAACACACATGAAACCAATAAAAGATGATGACGGAAATTTAATTACGAAAGAAGAGAAACAAAGGAAACGATGGGCCGATCACTTCAAGAAGCTCTTGAGTCGACCAACACCTGCACTTCGTCCGGAAATACCACCTGCAGCCCAGTCACAGAACTACCAGTGAACACAAATCTTCCAACAAAAGTCTAAGTCCTGAGCGCCATGAAGCTACTGAAATGCGGGAAGGCAGCAGGACTAGATGAAGTCCAGCCAGAAGCACTGAAAATAGACGCAGAGACAACAGCCGACATGCTCACACCACTATTGCAGAAGGCCTACAAGGAAGGAAAGGCACCTGCCAGTTGATTGGAAGGACGGCTACCTTGTCAAACTTCCGAAGAAGGGCAACCCAAGTCTTTGCAAAGACTGGCGCGGAATCATGCTCCATCGCTGTCCACCCCAAGCAAAATATTACACCACATCATCCTGGGGAAACTAAAGGATGCGCTGGATTCAAAACTACGACCAGAACAAGCTGACTGGATTCAGGAAGTACAAATCATGTGCGGACCAAATTGCAACGCCACGCTTCGCATCATTATAGAACAGAGTATAGAATGGCAGTCGACTCTCTACCTCAACTTCATCGACTTTGAGAAGGCTTTGGACAGCGTCGACCGAGGAGTAATTTGGAAACTGCTTCATTACTACGGAGTACCGCAAACCTTTATCCGCCTCATTCAACAACTATATGAAGATGCCACATGCCAAGTAATTCACAATGGGAAGCTCAGTGATGCTTTTGAAGCGAAGACATGAGTGAAACAAGGTTGCCTACTATCCCCCACGATATTCCTGATAGTGGTCGACTGGATCATCCAACAAACAGTGGGGAGCGAGAAGAGCGGGATAAGGTGGACCGCGGAAAAGAACCTGGAAGATCTGGATTTCGCCGATGACCTTTGCCTGATGTCACACAAACTTGAAGATCTATAGGCGAAAACCAACAAGTTGGCAGAAGAGGCAGCAAAGACAGGAATTCAGGCGAACATAGAGAAGACAAGGGTGATGAAGTTACTGCACCACCAACAACAACAGACTCCAATCACCCTGAACGGGAGAAACTTAAAGGAAGTAACCTCCTTCACTTATCTAGGAAGCACTGTTTCAACTACAGGTGGCACAGACGAGGATGTCAAAGTCAGAATCGGAAAAGCAAGCAAGACAGGCGTTCATTAGCCTGAAACCAGTGTGGAGATCTTCTGCACTCAGCATGCGGAACAAGATCCGGATTTTCAACACCAACATCAATTCAGTGCTTCTGTATGGCTCAGAGACTTAGCGCGTTACAAAAGGCATTTCCAACAAACTACAGACATTCATCAACAACTGCCGTCTACGCTCGTTACTGAATCTCAGGTGGCCAGAAATAATAAGCAACAAGGAACTCACTCGGGCAACGAACCAACCAAGAACCTATCGCTCAACAAATATGCAGAAGGAAGTGAAGATGGATTGGGCATGCACTGAAAAGACCATTCGGGGACATCACGCATCAGGCCAGACCCTCGAGTGGAATCCAGATGGGAAGCGGCGAGTTGTGCGGCCGAGGGTGACATGGAGGAGATCGTGTGAGGAAGAAATGAGAGCTTGTGGGCAGTCGTGGAGCCAGGTTCAAAAGATTGTAGAGGACAGAGTGGAATGGGGACGTCCTACTGAAGCCCTATGTTCCACTAGGAACCCAAGGGACAAATAAATAATAATAATAATATGATGGTTCATCCATTGACTCAACGTGTAGGACACGAGACTTTGAACGAATGTACACTTGAGTCCAGCAGACGTAGAACTGTCTGCTTGTTTACGTCCGGCCTGTTGCTGAAAGTTTATCTAACACTGGGCGTTGAAACACAAACGCTTCTAATAACGCCAAAAAACCTAAAAGTAGTACATACCACGGGGAACTAACCATGACTATCAATGATGCACGAGGTTGCTTAAATTTTGTTTTCTCCGCAACAGTCAGGATACCTTTGACAACCTCCTCCTCAGAATGCATAGTGTTATGACTGCCAACCATGATCACGACCACCTTTAGAATATATCGTGTAAACACAGAATGCCTACTTTGGGTGAGAAGCCATCAAGTTCACCGTTTTCAATTCTCCAAAGTAAATTTTGCGTTTGATCACTAGCAATACTAAAATTTACACAGTGCAACGGCTCGATGTGTTTCCTGTATGTCTTCAGAAGTAAGACATCAAAATCACATAAAATACTTGAGTAAACTGCATGTAAACAAAAATTGAATCACCAAGCAGTACGACATCTGGTTCCTTTTCTCGAGCTTGACAAACAAACCTATAATGCTGTTTATATTACTGAGTAAAATATTCAGCATTACTTGACTCATCCAACAGCCATCACCCTCAGTATCTGGTGGAGCTACGGCATCACTTGAAGACATTTCGTACCGTAAGCTACGGACAGAGCGGGCTCAACATCCAGTGTCAATAGAGTTAGTAGAGGAAACTCATAGTTTTTGAGCGCTCACTTCTAGATCTTCTAGGCTGAGAAACGAATAGTCAGCCATAGGGCCATCAGATTAAGATCTATAAATTCACGATAAAAGACTCTGAGACTAAGAGACGGTTAGACAGTTATGTCTCCTCGCCTGGTTTGCCGCTGAGGTACTCAGGGAGTCATCAACCTCACTCGCCCACCCTCATCTATCTGCTACCTACCGCTCATTCTCTCGCTCCTTGATACACCCACATTATCCACCAATTATTTTCTAGGAAATAGACCAACGCTATCTATTTTTATCATGTAGGCAATTCCCGCATACTTTTCTCTCTTTTTATTTCCCTTTTTGCCCCTTCTTTTCCCTCATTTTCATTTTTACTTATCTCTATTCCTTCCCCTCTTCTTTTTCTTCTTTATTCTTCGTTCATTTTATTATTTACCGCTACCTTACTATTCTCTTCCAGGTACCTACACAGACAGTAACCTCGATAGTCCCCTAACCGTTCCGACTTGCTCTACAAATTACAACTTACCGACCCACAAAACATCCAACTCACCGAGGCTGAAGGCAAGAAGGCAGAGGAGATTCCCTGACTACTGCAAGAGTGAACGGAACAACTCGAACCAAGTCCGAAGAACTAGACACGAGAGATCAAAAACTATCAGTTTTCTAAGCTCGCACTATCAACAGCGGATATTGCATGTGAGTCTATCACTCATCCAGCAGACCTCTATGCTTGTTTGGTCCATTTTCAGTGAGACAACTGACGATACCCACGCCACACCTTTTAGAAGCCAGTCCAGGAATTTGATCATTTCGCTTGCAAGTGATTACGCACTGCAACTTTTAGTTCACTGCAGGAGGAGAAACACAAACAACATCCACCATTCAATATTGATAGTGTGAGCGTAGAAAACTGATAGTTTTTGATCTCTCGCGTCTAGTTCTACAGGCTTGGCTCAGGTTCCTCGATTCGCTCCTGCAATGGACAGGGAAATCTCCTCTGCTTTCTTGCTTTCAGCTTCGGTGAGTTGGATGTTTTGTGGGTTAGTAAGTTGTAACTTGTAGAGCGGTTGGGGAGCCACGGGTTACGCGGACGGTTAAGGGACTGTCGTGACTCCTGTCTGTGCATGCACTTGAGTGCGAATAATAAGATTGTGGTAAGGAATAAAAGAAAAGGAAAAAGAGGGCATATGAGAGTTAACCGAAAGGCGAAAGCAGATAGTATGGGTCCGGTTTCTAGAGAAGAATTAGTAGGTAATGTGGGTGTATTAGGTGAGAGAAAGCGAGTGTTAGGTAGAAGTGAGGTGATAGTAAGCCAGTGAGGTAGGTGACTCCACGAGTACGTCTGTGATAGACCATGTGAAGTTACAAAACCGCCAAACCGTCTCTTTAGTGAATCGGATGAGGGAGACAACAATACATCGCGGTAGGGCATCCCATAAAGCACATACTCTCAAGGATGAAAAGTTGGACCTGAGCATGGTATTGGCTCCCTAATGTGATATCCTAATAATTTTTCCTCATGATGACCGCTGTGTTGGAGGCAAGGCTAATTCGTTTGCGTGGTTTGCCTGGTGGGCGATCTTACAGACCATGATAAGGCTGCAACACTTCCTGCGATAACCCGGGGTGAACATGTTTCGGTGTATTAGTTTTTTAGGGTATGTCTTCTCCCTTAGCCTCACAAATGACTTCATAGCAGATCTTTGTATTTTGTCAGGAAGGTTGCCGTCTCTCTTAAGTGTTGGGGGCCCACAGTACTGAAGACCTCTAGGTGCCGCCACGCGTAGGATTTGAAAAGTGTGAGGGACAGACCGGTGGTGAGGGCGCCAAGCTGTCTACGCAGAAAGTGCAAATGACATCGCAAGTGTAACCACATATAAACCTAATACAAAAGGACACGCACCCGTGTTGATGAGTGACTTGGCGGTAATTAACGCTACCGAATTTGGTGGCCTGGAGATCAACGAGATTCTACACTGGTGATGACATTCATATCTTCAAGAGACCGCCTAAGTTGGGGGGCCACACCGTTAGGCCTTGATGCTGTTTAGCACGCTGTCGTGTCACGTTACGGTGCTCGCTCTCAATCATCTAGCCAGCTAGTTGAAACACGTCAGTATTTTGGCACAGTTTATCAAATAAATCATTCCAACCTGCTTGTCATGTTGTATTTTTTTCTGTCTCGCATCGGTGAATATCCTACAGCCACAAAGAATTACCAACTGGCCCCTGCCTCTTTCAGATCTGTGGAAGGTCAGTTCCTAAACTGATGGATTTTTTCCATTTTTGCAGGTGCATTTCTGCCTTTATGTCGATAAATTTTATTATTCGTGTTCTAAACTTCCGTGTCCATGTCTAACTACACTCCAAAAACTTATCCCACTAAACTGATAACTCAGTTTATGCACCCCTTGCCTTTCTGGCGAGACAACGTAGCAACACGATTTCTGTAGGTCAAAGCTGATTTCTGAGAACGCGGAGTCATCGTTCTTCATTCCCGATTTGCTTCTGTCACACGATCATCACTGAGGGGATTGGAATGGCACACTATAGCACTCATCTTTGACAATGAAGAAATTGATTCTTGCGGACTACTCAAGGTAGCTCTTATGAAGGGATGTACCCCACCGATTGCCAATGCTTAGATGCATTGCCCCGTAACATCAACACAGGAGACGACTCGGCCACTCATGTGAGAAGATGGAGGAATTCCACAGACAACTGCAATCAACACTGGACAAGACCTCAGTTGGCGACATGAAAATTCCAATGGGTGACACGAATGCCAAACTGGTGGCAGACAGCACAAGAAGAGAACTAACCATGGGTCGAGAAGCGCTCGGTGAGGTGATGAACGAGAATGGAGAATTGTTTGCAGAATTCTGTGCATTCAACGATTTGGTGATTGGAGGCAGTGTTTTCAAGCACAAGGATATCCACAAAAGGCATAGGCTTGATTTCACCAGATGGACACATTAAAAGCCAAATCGACTTTATCTCAATCTCAAGAAAATAGAGACGCAGTCTACTTGACACAATGCCAAGAAGAGGAGCAGGTGTAGGTTCACACCACTCACTACCTAGTGCAAGGAACCTTCAAAATCTAGCTAAAAGCCTTCAGGGAAGCTGGTGATAGACCACAGTTCAAGTACAACACTCGGAAACTGAAGGACGAAACTGCAAAAGAAATCTTCACGGCAGCCAGCCATGAAAACAAAATGGGAGATATCGAGCAAAACTCCTGAAGAAACCTGTGTCGAAGAATACTGGAAGTCTCTGAAAGAGATCTGGAAAGAAACATGCACAACAGTATTAGGAAGGAAGAAGAAAGAAGATAAGGAATGGATCTCGATGGACACACGGAAGTTGATAGAGGAGAGGAGAGGAGAAGAGGATGGTGAAGCAGAAGATAAACCAGTGCAAAGATGCTCAACGACAAGAGGAACTGAGCACAGTGTATAAAACACTGGACAAAGAAGTGAAGAAGAGTGCTCGCAAAGACAAAAGACACTTCTACGAGACGCTGGCAAGTGAAGCAAAACAGGCTGCTGGTAGGAGAGACCTGACAACATTGTATCGAATAACCAGGTTACTATCTGGGAGAGAAGGGATCAACACACATGAAACCAATAAAAGATGATGACGGAAATTTAATTACGAAAGAAGAGAAACAAAGGAAACGATGGGCCGATCACTTCAAGAAGCTCTTGAGTCGACCAACACCTGCACTTCGTCCGGAAATACCACCTGCAGCCCAGTCACAGAACTACCAGTGAACACAAATCTTCCAACAAAAGTCTAAGTCCTGAGCGCCATGAAGCTACTGAAATGCGGGAAGGCAGCAGGACTAGATGAAGTCCAGCCAGAAGCACTGAAAATAGACGCAGAGACAACAGCCGACATGCTCACACCACTATTGCAGAAGGCCTACAAGGAAGGAAAGGCACCTGCCAGTTGATTGGAAGGACGGCTACCTTGTCAAACTTCCGAAGAAGGGCAACCCAAGTCTTTGCAAAGACTGGCGCGGAATCATGCTCCATCGCTGTCCACCCCAAGCAAAATATTACACCACATCATCCTGGGGAAACTAAAGGATGCGCTGGATTCAAAACTACGACCAGAACAAGCTGACTGGATTCAGGAAGTACAAATCATGTGCGGACCAAATTGCAACGCCACGCTTCGCATCATTATAGAACAGAGTATAGAATGGCAGTCGACTCTCTACCTCAACTTCATCGACTTTGAGAAGGCTTTGGACAGCGTCGACCGAGGAGTAATTTGGAAACTGCTTCATTACTACGGAGTACCGCAAACCTTTATCCGCCTCATTCAACAACTATATGAAGATGCCACATGCCAAGTAATTCACAATGGGAAGCTCAGTGATGCTTTTGAAGCGAAGACATGAGTGAAACAAGGTTGCCTACTATCCCCCACGATATTCCTGATAGTGGTCGACTGGATCATCCAACAAACAGTGGGGAGCGAGAAGAGCGGGATAAGGTGGACCGCGGAAAAGAACCTGGAAGATCTGGATTTCGCCGATGACCTTTGCCTGATGTCACACAAACTTGAAGATCTATAGGCGAAAACCAACAAGTTGGCAGAAGAGGCAGCAAAGACAGGAATTCAGGCGAACATAGAGAAGACAAGGGTGATGAAGTTACTGCACCACCAACAACAACAGACTCCAATCACCCTGAACGGGAGAAACTTAAAGGAAGTAACCTCCTTCACTTATCTAGGAAGCACTGTTTCAACTACAGGTGGCACAGACGAGGATGTCAAAGTCAGAATCGGAAAAGCAAGCAAGACAGGCGTTCATTAGCCTGAAACCAGTGTGGAGATCTTCTGCACTCAGCATGCGGAACAAGATCCGGATTTTCAACACCAACATCAATTCAGTGCTTCTGTATGGCTCAGAGACTTAG